CAAAACAAGAAAAAATAAGAGACTAAACTAAAAGAAACCACAAAATCAAACTGGGAAACTGGGCAACAGGGGGAACAGAACTAGGATCCACACACAGTAACATATACATAATGACTGACTAGAGAACATAGCAGGAGAAGGGCACTTAAATACACAGGCACCGAGCTAATAAGAGGGGCAGCTGTGGAACATAAGACAATCAACCAAGCAGAACAGGCACTGGCAACAAGCGATTGGTGGAGTGACTAATGAGCACAGGACAATGACCAAACAATGAAACTAAGGATCACTAACCACACACTGGGAATACTACACTAGGATAATTCACATGGAACAAAACTATAAACAGGACAAGCAGGGCAAACCAATGTCAGAAAAACAAAATAGAAAATTACAAACACTGGAGAAAACGGAAAACCAATAAATACAAATAAACAGATGAGCCTGGCCTCTGGCCAGCCTCGAACCCATGACTGGGGGGTTACAGTATTGTTTTCAGTTAAAGTTAAATTGCAATGGAGAATCTTTAGGTACATTCATTTACTTTCCTTTTGCAACTTGTTTATGTAAAGGAATTACTAAGTTTTTTTTACTTTATCATGTATTTTATATTTCCTATTGCTGCTGTTTTCCCTGAGAGCTACCAAAGTCTCATTGTATGACTACAATGCAAATAAAGTGTTATCTATCGATCTATCTATCTAGGAATAATTTTTTTGTGCACTGATAGTAGAGAGCTATAAGAGAGAAGTGGGTCAAAACTTTCAGGTAAAAACTTTTTATGTTCTTTTATGTCTTGTGTAAACAATTTTGTGAAAATTTTGTGGTGTAAACAAGGCTTTAAATCGGCAACACAAACTGATATTTCGCAAAAACAGTACCTCTGTCTTTATGTGGCTATGCATATCTCATGAATAGAGAATGTTTGAACATATGAAAGAAGGTCTTAAGATGGGGGAAAATTGTAGTAAAAAAAAAAAACAACAGAATTCTCCCAGAGTAGCAGAGAACTCTTCAGATAATTCTGTGACAGCGTAGAGGTACTGAGATGACTGTACATTCAAGCTACAGCTGGTCTCCTGGTGTCAAACCCGGAGAAGCTAATTATCAGGGACAGCTCAGACTTTGTTTCCTATCCACATTGTCTTTATCACTGAATGGGATGTGTCTTCTTCACATGCGTCATTTGATAATCAGAAAGGCAGTGCTGTTTATAAAAAGGCTTTCAGGTTGACTACACTGTAATCAGACCCTCAGTAATCAAGCTGCAACCCACCACTGTGACAGAATGGGCCCATTACGTCACACTGGTATTAGCAAGTCCTCATTCTTAGCTTTCACACTTCTTAAAACATTACCCTATGGAGCCAGTGGCTTCAAGTAAATAAGACGAAGCCTGACATTTGTGAGGGTATCTGTGTCCTTTTAGGGACTGTGAGGGCAGAATAGGACCAGGTACCGTCCTCAAAGCAGCAGTGTGGCTATCCGACTTCAGGGGAAGACCACAAACACACAGAGCTGCACCCCCGACACGTACCATTCCACGTGACTCGTGTGTTTCCACCGAACAATAGAAAAACAGAAGATACAATCATTATGACCAGCAGTATATATTAAAGATAAGTCTGTATTTTGCAAAGCATGAGATATGGCATCAAAACTGATTAACATAAGCTAGCATGTCTCAAATTAAGAACTGTCCATGAACAAAGTTTGAGTAATTAAACAACAAGCCCCATGTTCTATATCCACCTCCAAAATACGGTTCTGAAGTCTTTTATAGAAGCAAATTAGACCCTTTTTATCTTCGAGCATTCCGTAATGAAATCTCCACCTTTTAAAATATGGTCCAGAATGCTTTCATGACATATTGGGTTTGACTGTATAGTACCCAATTAAACCCATTGAAACTATTAAAACAAAGATTCATTTGATATCAAATCAGTACAATTATAATCCCTTGTTGTATCAAAACTGGGTTTAATAGTGAATGTGCAACATTTGGCTCTGATCTTATCTCAACTTAAGTCCTTCAAAGGACAACAGAATGATCAACAAAATATCTGCCATGGATATTGTAAACCGGAACGCAAAACCTTAATCCTATGGAGGGAGAATCACACTGTATGACACAAGAATTTGTGGATGAAACGGTGACAGTTTTCTTGGCACCTTTGACATGATTTTGCTCCCTAACTTAACCATAGACCTGCATGAGCTTGATCAATGATCCCAGACTCTCTAATATACACAGCTAACTTGCTTTATACTTTTTGATAATTAGTTACTGGTGAGCAGAGAGACCTCCCCCACTCCACCCCTCCCTTGAAACTGCTTTCCATAGTAGCAGCTTTCAGGCAATTGGTAATTATAAACACTGCAATGTATAATTAAGGAACAGCTATATTTTATTTACATTCTATTTATATTTCATATTCATATTGTCACACCCTGCCCATCTGACCCTGCTAGTGTGACCTTAATGAGCCACACCTGTTCCTCATTTGTCTTACCTTGTTTTCCTGCCCTTGTGTTAATCACTCCAGCTGCCTCTCATTTGCTCCCTCATCAATCTTATATAAAAGTTTTTCCTAGTCCTGTGTTCCCCAGTTGTAACGTTGTAAACTTTTGTTCCCTGTGCCCAGCCTTCCTCCGGTCCGCCCATTTTGAATCCCCTGAGACTGTGTTTGTTTCTGACTGTTGTTCTTTTGAGTTAAAAAAAAAAAACTCTTTTACTTTATAACCTTGCCTTTTCCCGCATCCTTCTTCCCAGTGTCATGACACATATTTTGATGGCAGCTTGTATTCAGAAGTTGACAAACTGAAAATACTTCTTTTTCTGTATTTTATAACTTATTTCAAATTGAGGTGAAAGTGGCTTAAGTTTCGAGCATTCGGCAAAATGGAACTAACAGGACTTTTCTGTCAAACAACTATTCTCTCTATCGATCCTTGACAACAAACAGAAAGCGAGTTCTGTTGACCTTAAAGTCAGTCATCTTTCTTATTAAGTTTGCTACAGTTTTTTTCTTTTTCTAACAGTACATTGATGGCTGAACCATATAGTTTTATTTTGGTGAAGTACTCACATTCCCAAATCACATATTTCTGCAGCTGCCCGATCTGCTAGAGTAATGAATGTTTTATTTTACCAGGCAAGTAGACGTAACAGTATTTTGAGTGATAAGACGAAGAGGAGCCATTCTGGAGCAATGCTAAATTAGAGCAATGGGAGTCTATGAACACAGAATTTTCTATCAGAGTTTCCTGAGCATGCACACGTGTGCGTGTGTGTGTGTGGTCCTGGTATACCTTACCTTGTGGGGACCAAATGTCCCCACAATGTGATGAATGCCCTTTATTTACTTTATGGGGACCGGTGTGTGTGGGTTTGCATAGATCACACTTGAGGACCAAATTGTCCCCAAAGTGTAGTAAAACCTGAAATTTCCCTACTTTTGGGGACATCTTTTGAGGTCCCCATTTGGATAACCTCAGTTTTATAAAAATCTGTGAATGCGATCAAAAAAATAAAAATGCCAAAAGTCTTGTATTTGGGTTGGTTACTTATGGTTAAGGTTAGGGATGGGTAGAGGTTAAGGGTGTCATGACTGGGATTATGGTTTTTCCCATAGAAATGAATGGGCGGTCCCCATTTAGATAGGAAGACCAGCTTGTGTGTGTGTGTGTGTGTGTGTGTGTGATTTCACGGGTCCTGAAATGATCCTTATAATGATGCTTATGAACTAAACTGTGCTTCTTATCTGTCAATCACGACTCTCCAAGCTGCTTATAGCGTGCAGGACATGAACCAGATGTTGCTATTCTGCATAATTTTGTCAGTTAACCAAACTAAATGTGGCAGAAGCATAAGCCAATATAAATGGAAAGTTTTCTGGTGGAGGCTATAGAAGGCAGCATAGGGCATCCTGGGGAGAATGCCAGTCTGTTACAGGGCATGTACTCACATGTTATGGGCATTTTAGAGTCACCTAACCGAATGCTTTCAGGAGAAAGTTGACACAAACCCAACACACAGGGACAAGAGGTTGGATTTCAACATGCAACCCTGGAGGTAAGAGTTTATAATACCAACCTGTACTCACCATGGTAGCTGTTCTCCTCTTCTGAATGTTACTCTACTCACCAAAGTAATTCTTCATCTTTTGAGAAGATGTCCATTGTCGCAGCAGTTATTTTTATTTTTGGTTACTTTGCTTGCCATGGTAGATCTCCTTCTTTTGAGATGGTTCCTCTATTCACCATGGTAATTCTTCCTTCTTTGACGAGTTTTCCATCCTTGCCACAGTAACTCTTCTTTGCAGGTTACTACACTTACTGTGGTAGCTCTTTGTTTTCGATAGGGTTACTGTACCCTCCATGGTAACGCCTCTTCTTTTCAAAAGGATTCCATTCTTGCCGTAGTAACTTCTTCTTCTCCTTTATGCATATCCTAATCAGGTCTCCTTTCCCCTGTTCTTTAGTGACACGTATTTTAAGAGCCGTTATAAAAAGGAAGAAAGCTCTTGCATATTTTCCAACACATCTGAGACAACTTGGCCAAATCATCTGCTGAGACAAGCTTCAGGTGAATTCATTTAATGATGAATCTGTCTGATGTATCTGAGTTTTGGATATCATGGGGACAACTTACAGCAAGAAGGCCACTGGCGTATCAATCAGCTAACAGGTCCATAACCCTTCATTAAACGGGACATCAAAGGGTTATTTCGCCAGCCATCCTACGGCTGTGCCCCCCTTTGATCTTTGAGTGTGTCTGTGTGTCTGTGTGTAATTGCCCCCCTTTGTTTTTTCATGACGTCTCTGTCACGGTTCACATCTGAAAATGATCTCAAAATGGGCAGCAGCCTCCTTTTTTTCTCGTGTTTCTCCTATAAGAAGGAGCGGCTGAAGCAGGGAGGTGAGGGAGAGGGAGCAGATCCAGCTGCTTGTGCCTGAGCGCGAGGGGGGAATAGGGGAGGGGGCCTGGGGCAACTGTTTTTGAAGACACTTGACGTCTCCCGACAGTGCAGCAGCTGTGGCAGAGTCACCAGCGTCCTGCTGCCCGGTCTGTGGATCTGAGAGTGAGCTCCATTGTCGCCGGTGCTGATCGAGGTACGGAACGCTGTTCTGAATGCTGCATGTGTGCCGGGAGCGTCCTATGGCTTACCGTCATTGACATTGAATGCAGAGCTTATCTTCCTGTTTGGCCTTGTAATGGATTAAAGACGACAAAGCTCAGTGATACCTCCGATCATCAAACCATTTGTTCATAGGTACACTGCTCATATGTACACACTTTAGTGTCCCAGTGAAGGTCTCTGATATGTACACACAATTCAGAATTTGTATGGTTGTTTCAAAGTGAAAACCACAATGCAATCCAGAATTAAGGGCCAAATTTAATTATGGATTAAAGAAAATAGAGAAGAATAAAAAGCGTGAAACGTGTAGGTGGAAAACACATATGAGGCTCGACTTGCATCACAGTCACTTATTAATTTTTCATTTATTTTATGTCTGAGCAGTAAAAATGAACTTGCATGTCGCAACTGATTTCAGTAACTTTTCAAAGGAAGCAGCAAGGTTACTTTAGCCGTCTACAGTAATCCATTAGCAAGTTTTAAGACATCTGTTTCTCAGCAGGCTTAAGAAAGTCAGTGCAAAACTCAGTGGAACATAACAACACCCACTAATGAGGAATAATGATTGAGGTGTATTTTAGCATACTTCAAGGTGGTGACAGGTGACAGGAAGGAAAGGCCAGCGAACAGCAGTTTGTACAGAGTGCATCGGTGCGGGATGGGATGCGCTCGGGTGTGTCTGCCGCTTCTCCTCCACTGTGGAGACGTATCACATGATACTGGGGCCCGACCGCAAAGCTAACATTAGTTTAGTGTCAGGCTGGCCGGCCAGCTGCCATTGGCCGCGGGCTGCCTTAAAATCCGCCGTGTTTGTCTTTGCTTTATCGGGGGGGTATATTTAGGCGATGAGCGTAGTTTGGGTGGTGTCAATGTACTGCAGTAGCGCTGCACTCAGTCTCGGCATGCCGCGTGTGGCCCCACAAAGAATCTGCCCTTTGGTTTATTAAAAGCCACCGAGACAATGGGCACTGAGCAAACAGAAAGGATGACATGGTGCCCGGACTCTGGGGGTATCGCTGGGAGACCACCCAGAACCCCCCCCCCCCTGCCCCCACCACACACACACACACACACTTAGCAACAATCCCAGCAAAACACAAAGCATCAGTCAGATGACTAAATGTTTCTGAGCTCTTCCGTATTAAAAGAGTAAGCCAGAGGAATGGACTACTCTGGGCGAATCATGGGATGCTAAGGCGGGGCTTAAGAGACCTTGCTGCCCAATCAGTGTCCTATGTTTCATTAGTTATCTGAAGCATTAAAAATACTTCAATTTATTCTCATTTTGCAAAGAATGCTGTTGTCTTATTGACACCATTATAATTATTCTCTGAACTAGAAGCTTCTACCATGACTGCTAGATTAGCAGTCACTCAGCTAACTGACAAAGAAACGTAACACAGCACCAGCCGGCGTTAGAAATCACACAGAGCAGCATGGATGTATCCCGAACCTCGCAGCATGGGCAAGACCTGCAGAACAATGTAACACAGGGTTAGATATAAATATATGTCTGCGTTTCTTTTTATATAAATATGGTTTGAGTTGAGATATTGTGTAAGATTTTAGCTCAGACATAAATTGAAGCGTTGATTAATGTAATTTAATTAAATTACATTGCAGCTATAACTTGGCATTGATCACATTGAAATTTTTACAGTGAGATGAACCATTAGCTAAACGAACTTTTGGATATAGGGCCCTTAAAAATAACGATAAAAGTAGCAGCTACAGTCAGGGAAGAAAGAAAATGCCTGTATGTGGCACCTGTTCAGGTCCAGGTGTCTTTAAGGGGCACACGCTTTGGCAGGCCCATCTGGATCTCGTCCTTAGCGGGGGCAGACGAGCTTGGATCCCCGGCTAGAGTCCTCCTGGCACATCTGACCCGGCGGCCCTCCGTGGCTGGGTGCTGACATCACGGCCTATCAGACGGTGTTTTTTTTTGTTGTTGTCCATTTAAGTGCCGCGTCTGTCACAGAGCACCCTAGAGAGTGGGGGTCTGCGGAATTGTATTTTTACGTGGCATATTCGCCGGAGTCATCTCTGATTAGCTCGGAGACAAAACAAAACAGAGAGGCAGTATTCACTTCAGCACATGTTTATTTAATGAGCAAGACAGCACAGAAGGAGGGTTTGGCATGATATATTTATGGTTTTATAATAAGTTATGGCATTTTAACAATTGTTTTAACTGAAACACTGTTACCACACCCGGTTCTGATTTCCTTTGTCTAAATTAGGTGCAAGGCTCCTCCAGAGTTTCATGGCTGAAATAAACTGGTGCCGTAAAAGCATATTAGTGATTCTGCTGTTTTGTCTCATATGGAAGCCCAGCAGTATTAAGTGCAATAGGAAAGATAAGAGCACATTCCATTTGGCGGTAGGCTCACTGTCAGGAGAGAACTCATAAAAACATGTTTTATTTACCCACTCATTCCTGGGAGAATGATTTTCTCCAGGAGGTTTTCTGGTCAATTGCGTTTCTTCTCTCTGTAACATACCATTTACAGTAAAAGTTGTTAGAGTAAGAGCTGGACAAGGTGCCTGATTACCTTAAGAGCCTTGACCTCCTTGTTGTGAGTCGTGGAAATAGAAATGGCCTCAGCTGTTTGGCAGGTTCACAGAAAACGGCCTCAGATCCTCTGAAGGTGATGTATTGCAAAACCTGCAGCATAACTCATTTGCTCCCAAATCCCGCTGATAATATTACCAGCTCTCGGTCCAAACCTCTAATTAGGTGAAACCGGCATTCTCAACACTACTGTTAGGTCATGCAGCCTGGAAACATTCCCTATAAGGGGTAACCTGACCTACTCCTTCTACAGCAGGGCTACACAGGAAGGAGACAGACATGGGGACAGGCTCCAAGACAGCCCACGTCATCCCCTGCTTTTTGGGGAGCATTCATGGAGATGGAAGGCAAGCCCTGCTGTGACCTTTTCTAAAGACGCCGTCGCTTCGTTCATCAGGAGAGCGTTTTTTGGTGATTTGCTCTCTCTCAAAAAAGACAAAAATGAGAAACTGCAACCCCATGGCGCGGCCGGGAATTGTGCTCTTCCTGGTCACGTGCCCCCTGCTGGTCATGCTGCAAAGTGCGCCCAGTAAAGCTCAAAGTGGGCATCTTGGGGACAACGACCCAGACAGGTGTATGAGGCACCACTTTGTGGAGACTATCACACATCCCATCTACAAGTGCAGCTCTAAGGTAAGACACTGTCCATTTCACTGTAAAACGCTAATGCGACATTGGTGCATGCTGTCTCCTTAAGGTACCCCAGAGCTTTGTATTATTAGCATTGTGTCTGAGCCGTCTCATATCATTCACATGATGAGGTATATTTAGAGTACAGTGTTCTCTTGCTCTTTGAAAAACATCGTGAACATCTTGCAAACTTGTGTGTACTGTGCTAAGTACAGCTTTATTTATTTATAGATTATCCATTTGAGAAAATGCATTCCTACGTTTCTCCAGGTGACACTTATGTCTTGTTTTGTACGTGCACCTGGACATTTGTGGCCACTTGATCCGTTCCCACCGAAACCACAGCATCCCACTGGTCCCAGGCAGGCTTGCTTGAATGTCTAAACTCATTTCTAACCACGGAGGGTTATGCAGTTTGTTTATTCTCTTGGGCAAATGAGACACAACAGATCAGCACTGCATTAATAAATAAATAGCTAAATATAAATAAACAAGTAATAAATACATGTACACTGGCTTCACAGGGTTGGGGGTGTCCAGTCTCCCCTACGGTCTGTGTATGTGCAGTTAGTCTCACCATATTTGCACCTAGATGAACATCTAGTTGAATTAGTGCCCCTAAGTGTCCCATAGTGTGCTCCGCATTGCACTGGAATCCCTAAGTGTCCCATAGTGTGCTCCGCATTGCACTGGAATCCCTAAGTGTCCCATNTTGCACTGGAATCCCTAAGTGTCCCATAGTGTGCTCCGCATTGCACTGGAATCCCTAAGTGTCCCATAGTGTGCTCCGCATTGCACTGGAATCCCGTCCAGGGTGTCCCCTGCTCTGTCTCTGTGCCTCCTGGGACAGGTTCCAGGCTTGTACTGGATAAGCCCTAATGGAACAATGAGGCTGGGTCAGAAGTCAGCTGCGGAGGTTTTCTCTGCGTATGTAACTGTTTTATGGGGCACCAGTTCCACTGTTATGTGAAGTGTTTTAGGTAACGGCCAAAAATATTCCAATTTCCAGCCGCACCACAATTGCACGACACACAATTCAGTCACTGTTCATTAGCTCCTTATAGTCAAAAAGCCACTTTATTACTTACTTGTAAGAAAATATCATAGATATATATTCCATATATATACATACACACATTTGGGAGTAAAATGTAATATGATTACAATCTAGCTACTCCTTTTTTCTGAATGTAAAATAAGACACTGCACATTTGTAAGTCTCTGAAGCGAGTAGGGTCAAGACTGTGACCTGACATGGGATAGTTTGGTCCAGATTCCACGTGTAGAAGGCGAGTTCTTTGAAGATGGAGATATCCAAGGATGTTCCTGTGGGACATATGTTGCAGTACCACGTCAAATCAGGTTCTGGAGCTACGTGTCAGTAGTGGGCGGAACCTCATTTAGTGACACGTAGCTTTATTTGGCGTCTTACCTCACCGCACTGCCAACTACAGATTTGAGCCATGGGGACGGATTCCTCCAATCCCGCGTGGGATTACTGGCCACACGTGGCTGATTCCCTCCATCCCACAAATAGAATTGCACCTAGTGCAACAGCAGTTGGTAACTGTTACAGGCAAATGTGCTGTTGTAGCTGTTCTCAAAATGTTTGACAGTGCGGGTAATTGTCAACAGTGTGACCTAAAAATGCCTACAGATAAATATGAAAACTGACACCTTTTAACTTTATTTTTGTAATTATTATAGTTGATGCTTGGCCAGACATTTTATTACTTTGATTACACAGGCAAAGACCTGACGTGCTGTCAAATACCTATTTCCTATTGATTTCTGTATTTTGTGCCATTTGGTTAAACCAGGAAGTGACCGACAGATCAGAATAGTGCCCTCATTTTTTTTCCTAATCACTAAGCAAAGCTCATCCTATACCACTTGGTTCTAAGTTCAAGGCCTGTTCGTTCGTACACCCTTCACTAACAGCAGGCCACAGGCTCATTCATTACAAAAAACGTTTGTACCTTTTAATGTTTGTTATAGGTGGTACTGAGTTCATATACTCTCCCTGTGTTTCCTCCTGGATTTGAAAGACATGCATTTAGGCTAACTGGTATCTCTTAATTGCCCATAGTGTATCACCGTGTGTGTGCCCTGTGAAGGAATGGCATTCCATCCAGGTCGTACCCTAGCCTTGTGTCCCCTGACCAGGATAAGCAGTTGGAGGAGGAATGGATGGATTTTTTTGTAATATTTTATAATATAAAATACTGTGCAAAAGTCTTAGGCAGTCAAAGAAAATGTTTATGGCTACTTCTCTTGGTAGCACGTGTGTATTTGCTCAGAAAAAAAAAACAATTTAACCTTACGACATATGCAAATTAACAGTAACAATAAAAATGAACAAGAATTTTGTCTGTTCTCCAGAAAGTTACTGATATATTGCTGGATAGCTAGATAACCTCCAGTTTGGTTCCCAAACCTCTCCACCTCAGCCATTCTGTGTTTGTTAAATATCTCCACCAGCTCAATGAATTAATTACCTTGACTCAATGGGATAGTGATTAGTCAAACAAAGTGGGGTATTGGTCGAGTGAGAAATACATGGTGTATTGGACAGTTGCTGCAAATACTGTGGGAATTTGGATAGAGGTTTTGAAATGGCTTTTTGAAGAGGTTTTTGAAAAGCTGCCGCACTTTGACAGACATAATCTCATAGTTTTACACCAATATGAAGATTATTTATACATCATTTTCTGTTACTACTTAGGACTTTTGCACAGTACTGTATCTCATTTAAATACAAAGTATTTAAATAACAGTTGCCTGATTAACAATCAGTACCCATTTCTCCTCCCTTTCTTTTCTTTCTTCCTTGTAATACCTTCCCCAGCATGTACCATCTCTCTCTCTCTCTGTCACACACACACACACACACACACAGGTTTGTAATAATATCTTTGTGGGGACTCTTCATTCCTTTTTGGGGGGAAACTCTAATCCCAACATGACAACCCTAACCCCTACCTAGCCCTAATCCTAACCATAAGTAACCAAACTAAATAACTAAACAGTTTTAGTTTTTTGATTGCATTCACAGATCTTTATGGGGGACACATGGTATTATATGTAATATAAACCTATTCCACACACACACACAGGGACGTAGCACCAAATTCTGGGCCCTATGCACAAGCAGTGCCCATGCCCCCCCATCAAAAAAAAACAGCCTAATCACACAAGACTTCACCGGAATTTGGTTTTATTTGTAGAATGATTAGAAGCTATGACAGGAAATGTCACCAAAGGTAGCCTAACATCATAGGCCTGCATGAAAATTGAACACTTTTGAAACGGTTTCACCGCTGCGTTGTTCGTCAAATTACCATGCGAATTCGATTTCAATACGCGGAAGTGCGGCTGTTTAGAATGTGCATAGCGATCTTCACACGAAGGCGGTACTACACGCCCCCCATGCAGGTAAAACAAAGAAAGGTGACATGGTTTACTTTTTGCCGATTTAACCTAATTTTAAAAACTTTAAATACCTCCGACAATGGACGTTTTGGAAAGAAGACAGATTACAGATTTAGCCAACGTTTTTTCCATGATTCTACACGAACATTTCAGCGAGATATAAACTGAAATAGACGAGAAAGATACGCGGCATCGACCCAGGGGGTTAAGCAAACAAAAAAAAATATTTAGACTTATCTAGACTACATCATGTTAAGCTATGTGTAATTTCGCGGTGGTATTTAAGTGTTTAATAATCACAGTTCATTTAATGTAGGCTATTTGCTTTCACATTTGGGCCCACCTTTCTTGGGGAAAAAAGTTTGTAAGTTGTTGCTTTCCCTCATTTTTTTTGTTTCTTTCCTGCCTCTCTTTTCTTTTTTGAAAACCAGATTTAGCTTTCTTTGGCATCATCTTCCAGCACGGATTCAGCTGATTCAGCAGAATGACCGCTAAATTAAATGCGCCTAGTTAAAAAGCCCGGTAAAGACTAAACCATTGCAGGGGGTGAGGGTGCTTGTCCTCAGGCAATGTAAGCTAGGACACAATTCAATCCGTCAACCGATTTATTTTTCCACAAAAATTACATTTACCTTAGTTAGCAACATTTTTGTAATCTTTGAATAATATTAATATATTTAAAGGAAAATAAAATTACAGATTCCTTAGGGGCCCTCCCCCCACATGGGGCCCTTTTTCTCCTCACTACGACGCCCCTGCACACACACACAAAGCCATATCCTCTCTTTTTAGTGAAGTACCCTCTGCATTTATATACTGCATAATTAGCCTACACCTTATGGTTTTGTGATTGCAATTTTTGAGTTGAGTGGTTTCTTTTTCTTTTCTTTCTTTTTCTTCCTTTCAGGTGAGTGTCTACTGTCACCTTATTGTGTATTTAAAAACAAACAAATATATATGCAAAATATCTTCAGACAACAATTACATTAACTCTGTAGTGTTTCTGTGATGATTGAATCAGGCACAGATCTAATCTAATATATGTTAGGATCCATGCCGATCTACACAAAACTGCTACATTTAAGAATGTACACAAAACTGCTACATTTACGAATGTACACAAAACTGTTACATTTACATGTATTGTTATCCATGATGGAGTCCTGAGTTTCGTTATGAACCTGTTCCCCCACTGGTCCACAGATGGCGCTGTTGGCACGCTGTGAGGGTCAGTGCAACCACAGCTCACGGTCAGAGCCCCTGGTATCCTTCAGCTCCGTCCTGAAGCAGCCCTTCCAGAGCACCTGCGCTTGCTGCCGGCCCCACACCTCCAAGCTAAAGGCGGTGCGCCTGCGCTGCGCTGGCGGTCTGCGCATCACCGCCACGTACCGCTACATCCTGGCCTGCAGCTGCGAGGAGTGCAGCTGAGTCCCCTTGGCAGGACTCCAACAGGAAGCGTAAAAAAGATCGTGGGAACCTGAGATCGTTAGACCAATAAGGACATCATCAGCACCAAAAGCGAGTCTTGGAAAACATGCCACCTGCCTCTCTGCTGGCCACAATAAGACCTTTGATTGTGACTTCTGGCCACAAGTGTGTCACACTTAGTGTCATATTGCTGAAAGCCTGTATATTGTGCAGCCATTACAGGCACGATCAGGGTGGGGATGATCCCAGAGAACAGCAGGTGCACCATGGGTAAACGGGCTGCCGGATTCATTTTGCACTCTGATTGCATTACATATTGCGGGTTCTGTTTGGTAGTAATGTGGAAGGCACCAGATTTTCATGGGATTGATTTCATTGGTGTTGATGGCGAGAATGAGGATATTTTATTTCTTATGCGTTGTGAGCCTGCATCTGTTTTGCTGGGCTGATGGATTCAGGTCAACACACCTGTCACATTCATCTCCAGATTTAATCAACATATTAATAGCATGTTGGAGCTCAACTGACAGAAAACGCTTAGGAACAGTTTTTACCAAGGGGACAACAGACCATGGAAACGGTTCTCACTGTCTCACTTCTGCAAATACACAAAGACACATTGCCAATTATAACCTTCACCCTGTCCTGCTCGTTAAATTTCAAGAATGTATGTCTTGCTTGCAGACATCCATTAGGAAACATGGTCTAATGAATGTTTTCCTTTCTTTCTAAGCACTGCATTGACAGGCTGGTTTGAGAGACCAGAAGTGCAGGCATAGGTGTGGCTGTATGTCTCAGAATGTCTTGGAAATTTTTGTGGAACCATCTTAATTTTGCTCTGATTTGTTCTAATTGCAACAACGTTTGCTGATGTCACTGAGTACATTCTGCCCCCTGCCTATACTCTTAACTTGCTTTCTGACCTCTACTAAATTGTTCTGGTTTCTCAATAAATTCTTCAACGAGAACATAACCACTAGACACATATGGTGCTCAGATAAGTCCAGGCATAATCGTTTTGATAAGCGCACATTTTTTCCATTGTGATAGTGAACATCATTATCGTACTATAGGTAAGTAAGGACAGAACAGTCCACCAGAAGAAAGGTCTGATTAACGTTCCCATTTATTGTAGTTTCCTGGTGTAACACAGTCCATTTTCCAGCCTGAATCAGAGGGCTTTCTCTGTTTCCCTGTACAGTGAAGTAATAGGCTGTTCAAAACCTCTAGCAACTTGGGGACTGAATATATATCACTGCTTTTCTCTGTTTTCCACGCAAGTCGCTAATGTGTTAGAGCAATTCAGCTTTTTGAAGCAGAAAAATCTCCTCTGCTCAGAATGGTTTCTGTCAGTTCCTATGGCAATAGCTTCATCAGTTAATAATCAATAGTGATATAACATCATCTGAAAAACCAAAAGCAAAGTCATTCATCCAAATCCTGTTTCTTTGCTTGACCATATTTTGCAACCAGAATGCTGAAAATAAGTTACGCAACAACACTGTCTTCTGCTGGCAGAAAAATGAAGTGCACTCCAAAGTGACAATGTTGTGGGGGTTGGGGGTGCAGCAGAAAGGGCTTGCTGTTATTTTAATTTATTTTAGGATGATGTTTAGCCTTTTAACAGTCATGATCCTCATCTGCATTTTCCACTGACAATGACACCATGTATAAACGTGACGACAGACTACAAGCTCAGATTATTAGATAGTGCCGCCAGTATCCTCTCTAGTTTCATACAAATATCTACTCCAAAGTACGTTTGCTTACTGCACTTCATGCCAAAAGAGTTTCTCCAAGACATTAAAAGCTTTATATCCATTGCTTGTGGCTTAGATGGCATTAACGTTGTCTGTTGTGTCCATACCATTGAAATATGAAGCGAACAGCATTTGCATTAACTTACTCAGCGGTTCAGGGCTCAGTTCTCCGTGTGCCGCATTCGGAGATATTGTGGGATCTTTGCACCACATGTTATTACGCCGTAACATGTGCATTTACACAGATGGTTGGTTTATTGGAGAGGATGTTTGTTTTGCTCAAAGACTCCACAGCAAAACCCCTATCAGCGCTGGTTACAAATCCATTACGCTACCTGCTGCCTTGTCACAGCTCCTAAGTATTATGTTAGCCAAAGTGTTTGACAGGTGGGAATATGACTTAGGTATTTAGTTATCAATAAATCAATCCATCCTTCCATCCATTTTCTATACCTGCTTGTCCTAAGCAGAGTTATAGGGGTGCGGAGCGTATCCCAAAGGTAAGGGCGCAAGACATCCATAAATTCAATTTAATTTACTTTTATGAAGCATTCTTCAAAATATACTTGCTTGGGCACAATTTATGTATTGCATATACAAAGACACACATTGCACTGTACAATCCAAGGTAACAGAGGACAGGAACAAAGATCCCTTTAGGATTGACAAGTGGGGAAAAAAATCTCTGGGAGCCCAATGTCAGTTGGCAGGCAACCTCAGCAAGTCATGCTAATTTCAATTACATCAGGTAAATAGGTGAGGTTCAGCCAGTCTGGTTCTTGTCCACTGTGATCTGCTGTCCTTGACCAAAAGAGTTAATCAAGGCTTTAATTTTAGGATCCAGGAGGTTCAGTGTTGTAAACCTGAGACACCAGCATGCCCACAGGGAATTAACATAATGACTATTTAGCAATGCAATCAACATAAACACAGCATACGGCTTGCATAGCAACATCAACATTATGCAAAGCCAAACCAATAGGTCTGATTTAAAGACAAGGGGGGCATTTGTGCATTTGTAGGTAAGCTATCCCACAATGCGGAGACCCTATAGCAGAATACTACCAATGCTTACTTCCAGTATTATTTGTATTGCATTAAGGCCTGGGTTTAAGGAATGGAGTGTGTATTTGGATAAGGAAAACATTCAAAAGTTCAATTAAATATTTTGGTGCTTGTTCATGCAGCAATATTTTGAAATCAGTCCTAAAGCTAATTGTGAGTCAGTGTAGAGATATAACAGTTTGTGTAATATGATTATATGGTTGTGATTCTTGCTGAAGAGCTCAGTTCTCACCCCACGGAGAATAATGTCAGCTTTGTGCTTAATCGTTTTGGTTTTTCTCTCCCTGCCACTCCACTGAGGTTCTCGTGTTTGTGCTACAGTCCTTCCTGAACTTGTAATTCGCTCCTGGACTGAGGAACTGCCTCGCTGCCGCAGAACCCAGAGCCGCGCAGAGTCAGGGGTACAGCTGCTGTGGTTCTTTTTTTGGTTGTATTTGAGTTTTTGGCTAATTTATCTTTTCTCCTGAACTTTGTCCAAGAAGGGGTTTTTGGGAGTCAAAACATTCAAGGCTAGTAGTAGCTGTTTGGGATATCCAGCAGGACAGGTCAGCGATCTGCACTAAGCCTTACGGTTCAGAATGAGGAGAAGCCTAAAGATTGTCTCCAGTCCCGGATGTTGCTATGATACACTGCAATTTAACTGTAACTGTTTTTGATGTAAGTGCCAAATGGTCAAGAATTCATTTGAAACCTAACTGCTATCTAAAGTCTTTTTATTTATGCGCTTCTTGCCACATTCTTAAACCTGAAAGGTCTGTTTTCTCATAATATATATTATAAAAGTCTTTTTTGCATTTTATATGTTTTAATTACTGATAGCAAAAAAAAGAAAAAGAAAAAAAAACCACATTGTCACTGCCAGTGCTTTTCCAGAATAAAGATGTCCTATTATGAGAAGCTCTCTTTATTTTGCCCTCACGGATAAGCACAGCTCTGCTCCCTGGAATCACACAGGAAGAACAGATCTCTCCAGGCTACGGGGATCGGCCAAGCCCATCACATCCTCAGCAGGTCAGATGCTGCCTTCGCCATAAGCCCGCTGCACTCTCTCTCCATCTGGACTCTCTGTGTGCCATTCGTGGCACTTCTCCCATCTGGTTTCTAAACCGAAGGTCCCTCGCTGTGTCCCCGCCCCCTCCGCCCTTTATGCCAGCCCCCGCACAATGTTTATTCACCAAACGCTGCTATAAACAAACCGAGAATGGGAAACAATCCTGTTTCTAGGTACTGGCTCAAGCTGCGCACTTCTGCTCTCTCTCTCAAATGCATCCAGATTACAGTCACGCATTCCCGTCACCTCACTAAGGTATAGCGGATGTGTGGGTTTATTGTAAAAGGAACTGGCTTCTAGGAACGATAAGAAAAAAACTAAATTTAGTGAACAGCGCTGTAATGGCCACGAGGGGGTGCTAAAGGGTTACTCAGGGTATCGAAGACTAGTATGTGCAGTAGCATACAAAAAAGCCCACTTCATTTCAACAATATAATATGCATATTACAAATATTAGAAATACATCATGTAGTTATGTGTGGGAGTAAGAATATCTATACATTTATGCAAGTTTATAAGTGTTTGCGTGTAGGTGTGTGTGACTTTATACTTAAGCATGAAGGGTTGTCATTTTACTGAGATGAGCGATTTATGGAATGCCAAATGTAAAATTGAAAAAAGACCTATTCAACAGCCCTAGTGTCCTGGTTTACACGACACTGCAGAGTTTCAGCCCCATTCTGAGCACAGCAACATACATGTTGATAGATTTTCTGCTCTTAAAAGCAGGCATGTCTATTCTACTAATGGATCCATAAATTTCTTTGTCTTTTATATTACATATACAGTGTAACTGTCCATTCATGTTATTTATTTTGTTATCTATTGTTACTTGTTTCGGATACATCTTAAAAGATATAAAATATGAATCGAATGCAATGTTTCCCCTTTTTTCAGGTGCTCCAGTTGCTGATCAGTAACTTTTAGGCTGCTTTACAGACCAACATCCACGCACGAAGCTGAACTCTGACCTGCTGATTGGCCACATAATAGCTTCAGACTACAAATGATTCAGATTCTGTTCAGCGCCACCTGAAAACTAACATTTAAAAAGGTAAAAGATTTCTGGAAACGGATGGAGGAAATGCACCCGGTAAAATTAGAAACTTAGTAACAGCTCGTCATGCGTTAAATTTCCTTGCAAATGAAGTTTGTTTATCTAGACTCACAGATGGACAGGTAGGGAGGGTACCAAGCCAGCAGAATTCCACTGAGAATTTACCCTGCATTGCCTGTAAAGTGGAATTGTACCTGGTACTTGAGAATGCAGATCCTTCATTCCTTAGACAATGTGAAAGGAGGGTCTTGTCCCTGCTGACTGGTAACTAATACCATGCTTTACTTGTAGGTTAGGCTCAGATTAAGCCTACAGTTTTGTTCAGGGGAGTTTGCTAGACATAAAATTCTACTCAGGCACAGACCCCCCACCCCCTATTACCCATAAGATTGGAAAGTGATATTTTACTGGGGTACAGCACATAAATACTGGGGTACAGCACATAAATACTGGGGTACAGCACATAAATACTCAGGTACGTGCCCCAGTAAAGGGGGTCTAGCTACACCCATAGTTTTATTCAAGCTTTTTTTTTTTTGCAAATATCCATATGCATAACACCAGAGACAGTCAGTTAAATGCATTATGGCAGTAAAATGAATATAACCCCATTTCCACTATTCCCCACTAGCACCACCAGAGTTGCCCAGCCAAAATATTCTTACTTGTACATCCATCCATCAATCCATCCACCCATCCATCTTCCAGCTGCTTATACAATATAGGCATGGTGACCCTGGACTGTATTAAAGGGAACACGGGACAGAAGGCAGGGGACAGCCGTATAGGAAGCCAGTCCATCAGGGGACAGAAGGCAGGGGACAGCCGTATAGGAAGCCAGTCCATCACGGGACAGAAGGCAGGGGACAGCCGTATAGGAAGCCAGTCCATCAG